AGCAAATAGCTGTGTGCCTTGATAAACCAACAAGTCCTACTGTATGAAACAGCAAGTTTATAAGGCCTTATCAATAAGCTACCAGGTTTCAAACAACATTAACTGATGCTAATAAACAATTCAATTGGAGAATACCCCAATTGAACCAGTAGCCATGTAAATTAGCCACAATAATTCTTAAATAAAAACTTCTTGAGTATGTAAGATTTCAATATTCAGCAAATTCTTTTCCAAGGCATCAAAGTGACTTGTTAGTCTATCCTAAAGAGCAAAAATTATTAACAAGGCACTGGTGGCTCACTGTAACCGTAGCCTACTTAGGAGACTGAGATGGTAGAATCACAGTTTAAAGTCAGCCCAGGCAGGAAAATCTTTATCTCCAAAAAGTTAGAAGTGGTACTGTAGCTCAAGTGGTAGTGCCAGCCTTAAGTGAAAAAGTCTAAGGGGGGCTGGGAAGGTGGCTCAGTGGAGAGCACTTGCCTTGCATGCCTGAGGCCCTGGGTTCGATTCCTCAGCACCACATAAGCAAAAGGAAAAAAGCCGGAAGTGGTGCTGTGGCTCAAGTGGTAGAGCACTAGCCTTGAGCTGAAGAGCTGAGGAACAGCACCCAGGCCCAGACTTCAGGCCCCAAGACCGCACCCAAAAAAAAAGAAAAAGAAAAAGTCTAAGGGAAAGCACTCAGGTCCTGAGTTTAAGCTCCAGTGAAGACAAACAGATTGGACAGATAGATAAGATAGATGGATGGATGGATGGATGGATGGATGGATGGATGAATGGATGGACAGATACCAAGAGTTGGAAATCTATGCCCTGAAGACTCAATCTTGGCAGTTTGTTTTTGTGTACCTGTTAGCTAAGAGTTGTTTAATGAAATGTAATTAAAAAAGAAAAACTAAGCCGAGTGCCAGTGGCTCACGTCTATAATCCTAGCTACTCAGGAGGCTGAGATCTGAGGATTGCAGTTCAAAGACAGCCCAGGCAGCTAAGTCCATGAGACTCTTTTTTTTTTGGGGGGGGGGGTCCGGTCATGGGGCCTGAACTCTGGGCCTGGGCACTGTCCCTCAGCTCTTCAGCTCAATGCAAGCATGCTACCACTTGAGCCACAGCGCCACTTCTGGCTTTTTGCTTATATGGTGCTGAGGAATCGAACCCAGGGCCTCAGGCATGCAAGGCAAGCGCTCTACCACTGAGCCACCTCCCCAGCCCTCCATGAGACTCTTATCTCCAATGAGCCACCAGAAAACTAGAAGTTGTGCTGTGGCTCAAATGGTAGAGTTCTAGTCTTGAGCTGAAGAGCTGAGGGACAGCACCCAGGACCAGAGTTCAAGACCCATGACGGACAAAAAAAAAGAAAAAAGAAAAACTACAAAAGATCAGAGACAGCCTACGAACACAGCTTTTTACAGATTAAGTCTAGAAAGTTTTTAAACTTTGAAAGGTAAGTTTTCCAGATATTACTATCAATTCTGAAACTATGCTCAGGTACAAAAAGTTCTGGAAATTTCTCTTGATCTTGACTTTTCACACTTTCAAAGTCATACATCAGTTATTCAGTGACATCCTATGTTAGAAGACCAAAATTAGCTATTAATAGCTATATAATAAACCTTAGCATTACTCTTCTATTAACAATACTTGCCTCAGTCAAAATTTTTATGTTACACTATTGATTCTGTAAAGTGACGCTCTGACCTACAGATCAATATAGAAAGTTTATCTTCGGCTGGAACCAGTTTTGATTTGGCAAATTACTTATAAATCATGGATGCATCTCCCACTTCAAAATATGCAAAGTATATCTTTTGTTTTGAAACAGTTTTACAACATAGTCAAGTGTAACAAACAGAGCTGAGACTATGCCTTTTGAAAGGTAATACTGTTATGTAGTTGTATTTAGTATTTATTTAGAGACAGGGATCTTGCTATGTTGCTCAGGCTAACTGAATCACTGGGACTCAAGTGATTCTCCTGCCTCAGCCTCCCTCTTACCACCAAGCCTGGCTGCAAAATTATTATAATAGTACAGTAACTTTTTAAAAGCCATTTAAAACCTTCCAAAGTAAGAGTTCAGCTACACGTTGGTGGCTCACACCTGTAATCCTAGCTACTCAGGAGGCTGAGATCTGAGGATCAAGGTTGGAATACAGCCTAGGTAGGAAAGTCCCTAAGTCTCTTACCTCCAATTAGCCAACAGAAAATCAGAAGTGGAGCTATAGCCCAAAGTGACAGAGCACTAGGCTTGAGCAGAAAACCTCAGGGACAGTACCCAAATCCTGAGTTCAAGCGCCACTACCCCCTCCCCCCGCCGCCAAAAAAACTGATAGCTGTGCACCTGTGGCTCATGCCTGTCATCCTTGCTACTCAGGAGGCTGAGATCTGAGAATCATGGTTCAAAGCCTGCCCAGGCAGCAAAGTCTGTGAGACTCTTATCACCAATAAATTACTAAAAAAGCCTAATATGGAACTGTGACTCGTGTGGTAAAATGATAGCCTTAATCTCAGGAACAGCACCCAGACCTTGAGTTCAAGCCCCAGGACCAACACAAAAAGAGTTCATGTTTGTAGCTCCAGCATCAAAAATGTGTACACTCATTTTTTATATTTCTTGCGTTTATGTAAGTATATAAATACATATAGTTAGGTTTGATATTGACCTCATTCTGAAGATTAACTTGCTACAGGATTTTGTTTCATGTAATAGAAAAAATTCAAATTGCCTAAAAGATCCTCTTAGAAATGCTGGTTTTGCTTTATTTTTTTTTTAAAGACATTTGGTTATCTGCTGCACACTCCACGAAAACATGAATGACCCAGATTTCAAGTTACAGTGGGTTTCAGCCTTCACTCAGCCAGGGGAAAATGAGCCTTCCTTAAGAGTACCACTGGTTGTTTAGTTAGAACAATCACATCTTCAATCTTCATCCACTCATTTAGAAAAGTTTCTAAGGTCTCTTCATTCACCTCTAGAATCCTGATGTATGAGCTAAGATTTTAAAGAAGTGTTGTTTGAACTGCCTCATTACAAACAGAACCTGCAGCAGCTCACAACACACGCTGTCACAAAACACACAACATAAGAACCTAGCGGGAGCAAAGGTACTATCAGAAATTAGGCTCCAGTTCAATTTACAGAGCTACTAAAAAAGAGAAAATAAATTAGTCTCAGCACACCCCAATACCATCAGCCTACATTCCTTAACATAAATACATATCTTAAGGGTCATATACAATTGAAACCATTCATTTCTTTCAAACTATGGTCCCCAAAAGCTGCGGAGACCATTTCCTAAAATAAGCCATAAGAAATACCTCTGTTTTAAGCCATCCAAAAAAAGCAAATACAGTAAGCACACTTCCCCTTAGAATAAAAAAATGGAAAGCTGCCTGAAAAAAAAACTTTTTATCAAGAAGTTGTCTTTCCAATAATTTCCTCGTTTACTTCTTGAACTTGGAGAGAATAAAGCAAATCTTCCTTTCCTGATCCCTGAGTAAAATGTACTACCTCTAGAAATTCTTTCTAAGGTCACCTCATGTCTTTCAGTAGCTCCATTTTTCTCAACAACAGAGACAGTTGTTTTCGAAAATAAACCACCTACACAGTCGCTAGTCTGGGCAGGAAAGTCTGTGAGACTAATATCCAATAAACTACCAAAAAAGAAAATCAGAAGTGGAGCTGTGGCTCAAGTGATAGAGTGCTAGTCTTGCATAGAAAAGCTCAGGGACAGCACCCAAACCCTGAGTTCAAGCCCTAGGCACAGCATGCACACACAAAAAAAAGCCACCTCATCTAAAGCCCTCGAGTTACACAACTGCAAGAAGAGAGGAGGTGCCAAGTTCGGGGAGTCCAAATCAGGACCAGGCGCTGGTGGCTTCATTCCGTTAAACAGGCTTTCCATCACCCTTTCCACATGCCCAGAAACGTCTTCACCGTTCTGGCTGGGTCGTGGTTTCTCTTTTAAGATTTAAGAGCCAAATGACTTCAGGACTCAGCTCCAATCACCCCAGGATCTAGCTCTGGACCAGAGAAAGTCCCCGTCCTCTGGAGCCACGGCAGGGTGCTGGCGGAAGGTACTAGGCGGCTGACAGCCCTTCAAACACCCGCACGCACATTGCTCTGAAGAGCTACACTACACCTACCTTCCATCATACCAACGAGCTTTCCAAGCCTCTGAATCGCAGCCTTCTATGGAGTGAATTTTTAGGCTCCATAAACTATATTTCAACAAAGCCGCTAAAAAAAACTAGATACTGTATTTCAACAAGGCCGCTAAAAAACAAAAAACTCTAGATAAAGAAAAGCTTCCAAGCAGCTAAGCGTTCGACACCTGGATGAAGGGCAGAGACTAAACGATCTGCTTCAATCTCTCAAAACTAAACAAAATGAATGGCTGCTGGTACACACTGCAGAGACTAACCTATTGTGTGTGTGTGTGTGTGTGTGCAGAGACTATTGTGTGTGTGTGGTTCCAATAACTGATCTTAAAGCACCCCCCGCAAGAGGAAACGGCTAGTCCCCCCAAATGGGAAACTTCACTATGGGACAATCAGGAAAACACAATGCGCGCGGGTGGCCGCTTCTGCTCCCGGCCGCGGCTCCCTCTCTCGCGGTATGATTGACTATTACAACATCAAGTGATTAAAACTTCCACGGGGCAAGATCACCCGGTAGGACGACCGAGGAGGAAATGACCAAACACCCGAGACTACTTTTCCCACGGCAGCTGCCTCTCGGTGCGGTGCGCTCCGGCCCCGGGGGGGGGGGTGGGAGGGCTGATAAGCCACCCCCTAAAAGGAAGGGGAGCCCCCACCAACCCTAGCCACCTTACCAGCGACATCCAAGCCCGCGGGAGACGTTCTCCGCCCGCCCGCCCGTCCCCCAGAGGCCTGCGGGGTTCCCAAGGCCCCGACAGCCACGCGGCAGGACCCCGACCCGCGCCCTCGGGGCCTTCCCCCCGCTCCCAACCCCCGTCCCCCGTGGAGAGCCACCGCGCGCCCCGTACCTCATGCTGTAGGCGCCGGCGCCCAGCTCCTGCCCGATGCCCGAGAGGCTGGCATCGAAGTCGTGCACCAGCCCAGACTCGATCACCTCGTCCATCTTGAGCACCCAGGCCATCTTCCGGCCTCGCCGCCGCCCCGTACAACGCGGCCTTCGGGTCCGAGGCGAAGGAGCCCGAGCTCCGCGGGCGCGTCCTGAGGGAGGGCGCGGGTGAAGCCTCCGGCGGCGCGGCGAGGGGTCACCAGCGGC